GGCTGGAGTGCAGTGGCGCAATGCTGGCTTACTGCAGTCTCCAACAACTCCCTGGTTCAAGTGATTCTCCTGCCTCAGCCTCCCGAGTTGCTGGGATTATGGGCACACACCATCACACCTAGCTAAGTTTTGTATTTTTAGTAGAGACGGAGTTTTCATCATGTTGGCCAGGATGGTCTCGATCTCCTGACCTCATGATCTCTTTGCCTCGGCCCCCGCTGAGTGCTGGGATAACAAGTGTGAGCCACGGCGCCCAGCCCCTTGGACCAGGTTGACAGGTAACAGTGGCAGTGCTGGGATTTGAAACCAGGGACTTTTAGCATCTAACGTCCTTGTTAGGCTGCTGAAGGTTGGCATCTCCACTTTGCTGTGTCTCATTTGTGAAACACCATCCAGAAACGAGTTAAGGTTTGCTCTTTCCCATTTGGCATTTAAAAAAAAAATTTTTTTTTTTTTTTTTTGGAGATAGAGTCTCGTTCTGTCCATCAGGCTGGAGTGCAGTGGTGCAATCGTGGCTCACTGCAACCTGTGCCTCCCAGATTTAAGCGATTCTCCTGTCTCAGTCTCCTGAATAGCTGGAATTACAGGTGCACGCCACCACGCCCAGCTAATTTTTCTATTTTTAGTAGAGAGGGGGTTTCGCCATGTTGGCCAAGTGAACTCCTGACCCTCAGGTGATCCACCCAGCTCAGCCTTCCAAAGTACTGGGATTACAGGCATGAACCACTGCACCTGGCCAGGCACTGTGGCTGACGCCTGTAATCCTAGCACTTTAGGAGGACAAGGCAGGTAGATCACCTGAGGTTAAGAGTTTGAGACCAGGCTGACCAACATGGCAAAACCTCATCTGTACTTAAAAAAAAAAAAAAATACAAATACAAATAGCTGGCCATAGTGGCAGGTGCCTGTAATCCCAGCCACTTGGGAGGCTGAGGCAGGAGAATTTCTTGAACCCAAGAGGCGGAGGTTGCAGTGAGCTAAGGTTGCACCATTGCACTCCAGCCTAGGTGATAGAGTGAGACCATGTCTCAAACTAAATAAATAAATAAAATGTTTAAACAGGATACACACTGATTATATTGCAAATAATATGGCAGGCACCAGGGAACTCTCACATATGTCCAACAGAACTCTGGATCATTTTGATTCTTTCTCCCTTGGGTATTGTGGCTAATCCCTGTTTCACTGAGCAGTATTTATTAAGCATCTAATCGATTCTAGGCAGCAAAGATGACACAGAACACTGTCCTTGAGCTGCCACTAGAGAGAAGGGCACAGCACGCATGACCTGAGGAGTGAACAGTGCCGGCCAGCAGAAGAAAGACTACAGTGCTGCAGCAAAGACAGAGGGCAGAAAAACATTCATTCTAGGAGACAAGACACAATTCTGTTAGTTACTGCATGCCCTATTCCCTGTGCATAGCGTGGGCCACCACCCTGTAGGTGTTCGGATTTCATTGTATTTAGTGCATTCCTTTTCTGAGCATGTACCATGTACAAGGCTGACAAATGTAAAGTCCAGACGTGGGGTGCAGCTGTGAAAGGAGAGACTATGGAGGGGAGGGTGTGGGGCTGAGCAGGGAGAATGAGGGGAAGGAAAGGGAAGAGCTAAAGTTGAGGAGGGGAGCAGGGACAAAGCTGGAAAAGGAAATGATTGAACCAGGCTTGGGTGTGAAAGCCTTGAAGGCTTCTGAGCAGCAGAGCTCAGGATTTGGCACTGGGCTGGTAGGTGTGGGAAGAGATGGTTCAGGAGCCCCGTCATAACCTGGCCTGCAGTGGTGAGAGCAGGACTGGGAAGGAAAACCCCAATTCCAGGTCCCAGGAAGGAGGATGCAGTGGAACTTGGTGGCTAAATAACATGCTAAAAATGCGTACATGAAGGACTGGCTATTTATGGGCACCCATGTTTTTGCTATAAATAATACATACACATGTAATTTCAGGAGACCAAGAATTATCAACTGCAAAACCCGAGTGTAGCAGTCTACTCATGGGCTCTGTACTTTGCTGCTGGAGGGCCTGCCCTCTGCAGACCCCTGAAGTCTGTTATTTTGGAGAAGGATGAGGTGGTCCTGTGGGTGAGGAAGGCTTCTGATAATAAAGGGAGGAGCCGGCAGGGCCAGGTGGTTAGAGGGAGGCAGCCAGCAGTGGGTGAGAGGGTATACGGAGTCGAGCTGCCTATGGTGGCAGCAGGCTCTAGCGCCTGCGTCGTAATACAGATGGGATGGAGACCCCCCGCATAGGTCTGCACGCTTCCTACAGAAGTTTCTTTTTCTGAGTTCTTAAAAAAAAAAAAAAAATGTGGTTAGTGTGGAGGATAAGAAAAACCTGCTGGCTAAAGCAGGTGGATTACTGGAGGCCAGGAGTTCAAAACCAGCTTGGCCAACATGGCAAAACCCCATCTCTACTAATAATACAAAAGTTAGCCAGGCGTGGTGGCGTGTGCCTGTTATCCCAGCTACTTGGGAGGCCGAGGCAGGAGAATTGCTTGAACCTGGGAGGCACATGGTACAGTGAGCGCAGACTGGGCCATTGCATTCCAGCCCGGGCAAAAAGAGCCAAACTCTGCTCAAAAAGAAACATCCGCTACCCCAGTGTTCTCAAGGTGCGGTCTGGGCATCCCTGAGATTCTCTTGGTAGGGGATCCACAAGGCCAAAACTATTTTCATGGTAATGCTAATACATTATTTCCTTTTTCACTCATTTTCTCCAGAGTGCATAACTCAGTGAACTGTTGCTTTCCAAATGACCAATGCCTGATGTTACAAAATCATGCATGGGTAAACAATCCATGCAAAGTGCAGGACAGGCTGTCAGATGGGAATGCCACTGAGTACAAAAGTTCATTGATACGGGCTCAGATTTCACATTGCAGCTAACCTTTAAGGCGCTGTACGCATCAAGTCTTAGTAAAGCATCAAAGAAGAGTATCCACAATTACCTGAAAATAAAATCTCCCTTTTCCAACTATCTGTATAAGGTTGGATTTTCTTTTATACTGTATAGTCAAAACAGCAGATTTAATGCAAAAGTGGATATGAGAATCCAGCCACTATCCTCAAACATTTTTAAAATTGACTTTTGGGTAAAAAAAAAAATTTTTTTTTAATTGACATAAAGCAATTGCACATATTTTGGCACCTGTGATATTTTAATACCTGTATACAGTGTGCAATGATCGAATCAGGTAACTGGGATACCTGTCACCTGAAATAATTTATCTTCTCTTGGGATTCATTTCTGAAAAACATCTGTTACTGCTGGGTGCAGTGACTCGTGCCTGTAATCCCAGCTGTTTGGGAGACTGAGGCAGGTGGATCATTTGAGATCAAAAGTTTGAAATGAGCTTGGCCAACATGGTGAAACCCTGTCTCTGCTAAAAATGCAAAAAAAAAAAAAAAAAAAATTTGCCAGCTGTGATGGCACATGCCTGCAATCCCAGCTACCTGGGAGGCTGAGGCAGGAGAATTGCTTGAATCTGGGAGGTGGAGGTTGCAGTGAGCTGAGATCATGCCATTGCACTTCAGCCTGGGTGACAGAAAAACACTTGTTATTTATGTTAACATGTAATGGGTTTATTATTTAACATATAAATTTTTGCTTAGTTTTAATTTCAACTGTGGCAAATACTAATAGGCAAAACCACATAAACAGAAGCCCCTTAGGGTTCTCATTTTTCAGTTGTAAAAAGATCCTAAGACCAGTTTGAGAACAGCTGTACTACAGAAAGTCCCTGAAAACAGGGAGCTAATTGTTGGACCCTGTGCCCAGCTCTGCACATCATCTTCCCTCCTTAGCCCCTCAGCAGTCCTTTGGGGTTAGTGTAATTCTTTTCGTGTCTGTTTCACAAATGAGGAAACTGAGGCACTGAGAATGAATAGCAGGCACAGGACTCACCATGCAGAGGTGGGAGTGCCAGCACATGGGGATGTCCCAGACTGATGTCGCTGTTCTCAAACCGGGAGGAAGGCAGATACGGGGGGTGGCGGGGGAAGCCTGCTGTGTATGCTCTGGTCCTCCGCCTGGTGCGCGGCACTCAGCCTGGCAGGGAGGTGCATCTCCGTGCGCTGTCTCCTTCTCTGAGGCCTAGGGGGACAGGCATAGGTTTGCTATAGGAAATCAGAGTTTGTAACAGCATGACTCTCTTGAGGCACGTGCGGTGTTGGTGTCCAGGAGTGTGCTTGGTCTTTGTAAATATTCCACATTTTGCTGTTTTGGAGTGAAACAGCTTTGAATACTGGCTCCAGCCAAACTGAGGATGTGTGCACATTACTTACCTTCTCAGAGCCTCAGTTTGCTATCTCTACAAGCAGGACATTGAGACCTCATAAAGATGTTGAAAGGATTGGGTGAAAGAATGTAGGCAGGGCTCCTGCACAAAGGCTCACATACAGCAGGGTGCTTGAAGATAATGTCGCTTTGGACAGAGTTCAGTAGGTCAAAAGGATGTGCAGTGAAAACAGTCTCCCCTGCTCTCTCCACCATAGCTAGTGGTAACTGAGTTCTTACACAGCCTACCAGAGACATTTTGTGCACGTGCCAGTAGGTGTGTCTGTTTTACATACGTGGGCGTGTGAATAGTCTGGTTTTAAACACACGTCAAAGGTAACGTCTGATACACAGCTCTTTGCTTTTAGGGCAGAAAGCCAGCCATTTAGTTTTTTTTTTTTTCACAGCTGTGTAGTACTCCATCTGTGAATGTAGCCAGGTAGATCTCACCAGGCCTCTTACTCGTGAACATGGCGGTTGTTCGCAGCCCTTGCTTTGTAACTGTGCTGCGGTGTATAACCTCGCTCATGTGCAGGTGTGATGGAAAGGAAATTTTCAGGAGTGGAAATGCTAGGGCAGAGGGCACATGCATTTGTCATTTTGTAAGATGTTGCCCAATTGTCCAAAGAGGTGGTGCCAGCTATGGTCCCCCCGCCCATCTCTCTCTGTGGGGAAAGATAGAGTTGTGCCTTGGGCTTTGAGAACTGAGAGGCATTCTCATTCCGTTTCAGCATCAGCTTGACAGCCTGGAGAAGAACAGCGCTTCTGGAGAACAGGGAGAAAGAAATTGACTACCAGTAAGTGGCCAGTGCTTGGCTCTTGTTCTGTTGTGTTTGTGTCCCTTGAAGACTGTCACTCCTGGTGGTTCATTGAAAGTGATATGTAGGCCAGAGTGCTTTTAATGGTTCCATCTGTGGGACCAGACAGGAGGCGAGACAGCCTCCCTCCACGCCCTCAGGCTGCATCTGTTTGCAAAGGGCCAGGCCAGTCCTGCTGTCCAGGGGGAGTCCTCCTTCGGACGCCACGTTTGCTTAGGAGGGAGCCAGTCTCTCTGCCTCTCTTTGTTTCTCTCTCTGGCTTGCTCTAGTTAAGTGGAAGGAAATGAGTTACTTTGCCAGATGGGTGAACTTGAGTACCGAGCTTTTTGTCCCCTCTGTGGTGAGAGCAGTGGCGTCTGCTTATTGACATTACTCCCGTCTGGAACAGCAGCTGGGCTTGCAGATGACTCCCAACTCTGGGGTCCAGAAGAAGCCGGGCAGCACCCCCAACTGAGAGGGAGCGGATGGGGCCGGTAGAAGCCAGGCAGCAGCTTCCATCGGCCTTGACAGGTGCAGAGGGGCTGCCACCCCTCCCTGAGCTGAACGAAGCCTCTTCGTGGCAGGGTGGTTTAAGTGTGGCTTGCGGGTGGCCTGCCTGGTAATCAGAACTTTTAGGACAGTATGACATAAACTATCACTTTTCTTGAAAAGATTTATCTCAAGAGGATACAGTGAACCAACAGAAGCAAAGATTTTTTTTTTTCCCTTGGATAAAAATTCAGACAATTAAGGTGAATGGATTAGTAAGCCATAGTGATGTGAGGTTTTCACAGACATTGCAGTTTACAGTGGACAACCACAAAGACACTAGACTGAGGTTCGTGAGGGCTCTGGGAGGCTGGTCCCGTGCCTGCACTTGGCAGGCCCCCCATCAGTCTTTGTTCAGGAGTGAGTGAAGGATAGGAAAGTGGCAACTGTGTGAAAAGTTGAGGTCAAACTCGTATTAAACAATATTCTGCAATTGCAATAACTTAGAAGTATTTGTTTTGGGATAAAAACGGAAAATAATACGCCAAAGTGAAAATAGTTCTGTTTTCAGTGATCCTCAATCTTGTTGGCACCTCCCTACCCCTAAGACTTTTTAGGCTTTTTTTCCTAATTGATACCCAGCCTCCTCATTGCGTTTTAATACCACATATCTATGCCTTACGCATACGATGAATAAGAGTTTCTCATTCCCCAGGAACTAGGCTGTGTGTCCCCGTCCACCACCTCCTGCCCGGTCACCCTGGTTAGGTGGTGCGGTCCTAGGCATTTGCATCTTTTCTGTCTTGCTCCTCGCTGTCATGTCAGTAAAAGACAACACGATGGAGCTCCTGGGTGTGGCTCTTGGCCTCTCACTTGCTCTGTGGCGCCCCAACTCAAGAAGACAGAACGCTGGGCAGAAAGACGGGGGCTGCCCATGATGGCCGCCTCTGCACCTGCTGCGCACTGTTGTGTGGCCCGGACAGCCTCTCCCCTGGGAGGGCTCGGCTGGCTTCTCCTCTTAGCAAGATGGGTTCTCTTTTAAAAAACAAAAAATGTTGGTGAGGAGCTGGCCAAATCCGTATGCTGTCTTCCAGTAGCTAGGCAAGTCCTGGATAGGTCCTTTCTCTAAGGTGAACTTTCTCAACCCTGATTCCCCCCATCTGACTACAGAGGCTGCTCCCTACTAGGACCAGTGACGCACTGGAGAGAAGTGGATTTCATGGGGCCTGGGGGCTTAATCCTCTTCGGGATCCCACTGTCCTGGTGGAGAAGGCTGCTCAAGGGGTAGACAGAGAGGATGGTGTCCTCGTGCTGGGACCTGCTGGTGGACACAGGGCTGAGGCCCTGCTAACAGCTCTTCTGTCCCCTTTGGTGCTCAGTAAAGAGTGAGATGGCCTGGATTTGAACACTGCCCTTTCCCCAGTCTTGGGTCAGTGATCTCACACAGTGTGGTTATGGGAACAGACTCAGCAAGCCAGAGCCCAGGGCTCTGCCCCCATTCCTTGCGTAGCTTTGGGCAAATTGCTTAACACCTCCTGCCCAGTTTCCTAAGCTGTGAGATTAGGTGATTATACCTAAGGCCGAGTAGGGATGAGGTGAGTTAACACATGAAGCACTGAGACGGTGCCCAGCACATAGTACTAAGCAACTGTGATTAGCACTGTTGCCATTATCATTAACCTTCGAGCTTCTGTTTTCTCTCTTTCTCTCTCTCTCTTTTTAAGATGGAGTCTCGCTGTGTCACCAGGCTGGAGTACAGTGGCACAATATTGGCTCACTGCAACCTCCACCTCCCAGGTTCATGCAGTTCTCCTGCCTCAGCCTCCCAAGTAGCTGGGACTACCGGTGCCTGCCACCACGCCCAGCTAATTTTTGTATTTTTGGTAGAGTCAGGATTTCACCATGTTGGCCAAAATGGTCTCGATCTCTTGACCGTGTGATCCACCTGTCTCGGCCTTCCAAAGTGCTGGGATTACAGGCCTGAGCCACTGTGCCCGGACCTTCTGTTTTCTTACCTGTACATTTTTTTACAGAAATAGTGTGGCATATTGGACTTTCTGGCTCTCTGGTGGGTGAGCGAAGGCATGTAGCTGTTTTGGCCAGTGAGATGTGAAAGTGGTGTGTGTTCTTCCAGGCCAAGCATTTACTTGTCAGCGCTAGGCTTTCCAGAGCTCTGTCCCCGCCCTTTGGCATAGTGACTGGCGACATGGTGGCAGCTCTGTCATCTGGGTTCCTGGGACTGGGATCGATGAGAACACTCATCACCGCCTGAACCGTGATGCATGTGTTAATAGTATCAGCAAGAAATAAAATCTTTCTCCCGTACACTGCTGAGATTTGGGGGTTGTTTATTGCTGCAGCTGACCCTCATCCATCCTGATTAAGACAGAAAGTCATAACCATGTTGAGCTTGGTGAGGATTACATTTTATACGTAAAATGTCCAGCACAGTATCAGGTACGTGATAGTCGTGCATCTGATTCGGCTCCCTTCCTGGCCAGAATCTCCTACTGATTTTTAGCAATAAGTGTTGCTTCATCTTTCAGCAGAGTTTCACAGGCCTTGACCCCTTACCTCCTGTCCTGTGCCTTCTGTGTGAAGGCAGAGCTGCTGCCCTGGTAGTGCCCAGCATGGTGCCCCATCTGACCCATTCTCCTGGAGTGGAGAAGGCGTCCATCTCAGTAGCATCTTTCAACTTGTAATCACAGCTCCCGCTCCCCCGTGACCAGAGGCTGCAGTCACCCTGGGACTCAGCGGTCAGTCCTAGAAGTTAAAGTGGCTGCCCTTCAAGTGTGCTTAATGTTTGGGTGCATTAAGTTAAGAGGCTGGAGCATGCGCGGAAGGCGCTGAAACCTTGGCCGGCCCTCTGGGTCTGTCTGGACCTCCCTTCACTTTCCAGGCTTTGGCTGCAGGCAGAGAGGTAGGGCCATGTGTAGAGTAATCTTATGATTCATTGTCCACAAGGGACACTGTGCATGTGTCTGGGTGGGGAAGGAGACACAAGTTTCAGAGCATTGGTTAGTGGGACTATTGATCTTGTTCTCAGAACAGCAGGCCAAGCCAGGTTGTCTCACTGCCACACTGTCAGAGGTTGCGAAAGGGCTGTGGTTCTGTGCTGTTGGGATGGGCATTGGCTGGGAGCTGTTTGATGCAGGGACCTCATGGGATGGCCTCAAGAGGAAGCCTGTTTATTACCAAGCATTGTCTGAAGCAGACATCCTCACCCGTTCCCTGAGCCTTGCTCCATTCTAGAACTGCCCAGTGGGCAGCCCATTCCTGTGCAGGAGGCATGGGGGCCAAAATGAGGCAAGGAAGATGGGGTGAGGCTGAGGGCTGGGAGGTCCAAGTACTGCCCAGCAAACTGACCACCCCCTGAGACCAGAAGGCGTCATTTCATGATTCTTGTGACTTCACTGCAGGTTTCAGATCTTTTCACAATAAAAAGCTGAATCAAGACCAAAATAAATAAATATACACACTGAAAAACATAAATAATTCTGATCAGTTACATTTTAAGTAAAAAGATACATATAGTATAGAATAAAGATACATAAAGGTTTTTTTGCCATTTATTTATGTTTTATTTTTTGAGGCAACCTCTCTGTCACCCAGGCTGGAATGCAGTGGCACTTATCTTGGCTCACTGCAACCTTCACCTCCCAGGTTCAAGCAATTCTCCTGCCTCAGCCTCCCAAGTAGCTGGGACTAATTTTCATACTTTTAGCAGAGACTGTCTTTTACCATGTTGGTCAGGCTGGTCTCAGACTCCTGACATCAGGTGATCCACCTGCCTCAGCCTCCCAAAGTGCTGAGATTAGAGGAATGAGCCACTGTGCCCTGCCAGCTTTTTTTTTTTTTTCTCCAGACAGAATCTCACTGCCACTCAGGCTGGATATAGTAGCGCAATCTCAGCTCACTGCAACCTCCACCTGCTGGATTCAAGCAATTCTCCTGCCCTCAGCCTCCCAAGTAGCTGAGACTACAGTCGGGTGCCACCATGCTCCGCTACTTTTTTTTTTTTTTTTTTTTTTAGTAGAGACAGGGTTTCACCTATGCTGGCCAGGCTGGTCTTGAACTCCTGACCTCATGATCTGCCTGCCTTGGCCTCCCAAAGTGAAAATGCTGAGATTACTGGCGTGAGCCACCATGTCTGGCCACTTTTTTTTTTTAATGGTCCATTGAAAGGCAGCAACATGGCTGGGCGCCCTCACGCATGGTTGCTGCCAGCACAGCCTCTGAAACCCACGCAGGGGACCTCAGGCCGGGTGGCTGGTGCCTCCTAGCCTGCTCTGCCAGTCCTCAGGAGGGGACAGGAGAGCGAGGAGTCCATCCTTCCATCTCCTCAGTTCCAAGAATGTGGCCTCCAGTCTCAGGTTCCTCATCAGTAAAATGGGAATGGTGGAAGTGGGTTTTTGGCGGGGCACAGGGCCTGGCAAAGGGACACGCTGAGGTCCTCGCAGCTCGGTGTTTTCATTAAGTCATCGTTGGTGGAATCCTGACTTGGATGCTCC